TTTTTTTTTTTTTGTGGTCACTCTGTGTATATATATATATATATATATATATATATATATATATATATATGTGTGTGTGTGTGATGCGTAGAGCTGCTGTACATGATGTGGCCTTTTTCCCACTTTGTGTGTCTTTCCCCCAGAGGAGGGTGAGTACTTCCTGAAGGTGCTGATCCCCAGCTATGCAGCCGGCTCTATAATTGGCAAGGGTGGCCAGACCATCGTACAACTGCAGAAAGAGACGGGTGCCACCATTAAGCTGTCCAAATCCAAAGACTTCTACCCCGGTAAGAGGGAACACTCACTCACTCAATCAGACTGACAAATCAGAACGGCTCATAAGCATGTCAGGAGTCCTCCAACTCATCAGATGCTTTGGCACAAAAAATATTTTTTATCCACACCGTGAACTCAAGCGTCTTCGAGAATAAAACCGGATCTGGATGCGTCGCTTGTCCAAAGCACGTCTGCTCTCTAGTAATCTGGTGTCAACTCGATGTGTTGGTGTCGTTCCAAGAATTTGCGATTGCGATCTGACCTGATGGGACCTTGAAGCAAGTATGTGTCGCTTTCAAAATGGCGGCTCTCTGAGCTGCTGCTGTAACACTACCGGACCCGCAGCAGAGGTTGGTTAATTTGACTTCTAATCAGCTGCTCAGGGGGGAATCTGACAGGCCGCTTCATCCCGCTCTCGTTGCTTCCACTGGTGACAGTTTGTTGCGGCGCCGGGGCGTTTTTCTAGCATCTGAGCTAAATGAAGGAGAGGAAACTGATTGAAAGTCTGGAGCCGAGCTTCACTTCTCTCTCTCATTACATATTGATGTTTCGAACTTCTTCCAGCCACCGCTGTGTTGCGAAATCCTTCTGAGCTGTAACAGACATTATAGGGTAACAACAACAGGCTTTAGTTCAGCAAGCTGTCATTCTGAGAGGTCTGACAGAGTTTGACTTGGTTGCCATTTGGTGGTGACAGAGGAGATGTGCGTATGTTGCCCTCAGGTGAAATAACAGATATACTGACGCTATTTTGGTGTCATTTAGTCATCTGTTCTGGAAGAATAGGTGGAGAGGTGATTATTTCAGCTGAGCCAGTTGTTCAAACCTTCAGAAAAATTACAGCTTACATGTAATTGCCGTATTTGGAAAGGAGGGACGCGAATTCTTTGGCTAATGTGGCGAAAATGACATCTGGACTTTGTATGGTAAAGGATTCTCCAAGTATGATTACTTCAGATCAGGGCTGTCAAAGTAATTTTTATTTTGAGCCAAATCAAATATCTGAATGTTCTTAAAGGGCCGGTTGTGCCACAGTACATTGTTAAAACCAATTCAATTGTTAAAATATCAATAAATCGCTGTCCCTCCAGGAGTTTGTGATTTTTTTGTGTGTTTTTTGCTATCAAAATGACAGATTTTGTGGTGCCAATTTAGAAATGTTTGTAGGGAATTTTTTTTATATTTGCACTAATGTATGATGATAAATTTGACTTTTTATTACAGACAACATTTATGTTTTTGAACGGTCAGAGCAGAGAACCCACAAACTCCATGCAGGCTGTGATTTTAACCATAATAAATATCACAACTATTTCACTTTTTCTTCTTATTACTGCTGTTTATGAGGTAAAACAAAAATAACAAGCTAATATTGTTAGCTGGTTATTTAGCTGAGTTATCTATTTGTTCAGCTAGTCAGCAGATATAAAATAGCATTGTCTCAGTAATAGTGATAGGTGGCAATTCTTTACTTTGCACACTCTGACTGTGCATGTTTTTGTCCATGTCTACAAATATTTTTAAGCTGCCATCTTTTTTTTTTCTATGTCAGGAAAAAATGTGGACACCTTCCTTGGCAATGTGCAGCAAGAGGTGGGGGAGGGGCATTACTCATTGCTCCATGCAGCCAGAGAAAACTCAGTCTGGAGTATTATAAACCTTGGTCTGCCATCGGTTCGATTAATGGACCTGATTTTATAAAATGAATCTGTAAGTCATATTACCTCCCTCATCGTTAGCCGTTGGATATTTTACAGACAGACTCTGTGTTTGTCGCTAGCTTGTGTTCAAGAACGTTTTACAAGATGGAGTCGTGTCAGGAGTTGAAATGTCAGCCAACCTGACTTTTCTTTAAACGAGGTAAAGCTTTGGACATACGAGCTGACAGCTCACCGCAACAAGTGGGGGAGGGGAAACATGCCCCACTGCTGCGTTCAACCAAAAACACTCATGTTTTACTCAAACAAAAACAAAAATGTAAAACATAGTTTTTATTTAAAACAGAAAAACAACAGTTGTTCCTTAGGTGGCGTTACCATTTTGATTATTACTGATAACAGTGATCTCTGTAACATACATTTGTTGTTTAGGTTTTGATACATTGACTACTGAAGCTGAAAGCTGTAATTAAGACCCGCTAAAATTAGACACACACAAAAAACATTTTTCCATAGAGTGACAGAAGCATAACAAGCTGATGTTAGTTAGATAATTAATTGGGCTTCTCAGTCAGGTAGACAGCCTGCAGTCGGCAGCCTCCGGTATCTCACCAGGATTGTTTGTGGACCAGAAATATCTCAGAACTGTGTTTGCTGTTAGGAAGGGAGAAGTTCAGGAGCCGTCCTCCAGCCTATCGACTGGCAGTGAGCAGCAACTATATTTAAATAACAAATATGACTTAAAACCTTTGACTTTGTAATTTAATGCCTTGAAATTGGACCTTTGCCTCTTTAAAAACTCCTGCTCTGTCTGAAACTCTGCCTTCAAGGAGCCATCCCAACATTGCTCAACTATGAACCTTTAAAAAACTTTTTTACCAGCATTTCCCTGAGATGTAGCAAAGAGGTCAGCAGATGCACATTTCCAGCAGGTGTTTGCTAATTGCTGCTGGCTAGTCTGAAGGAGCTGAGTGGGGGAGTCACGGGGGAAGGGATGCTCTGTGGGGTGAAAGATTGGAAGCTTGGAAACTGCAACTCCGAGGAGGAGCTGCATCTTGAAGGCGGCGCTCGGTCCAAGCAGGGGTTTTGCTATGGGAGATTAAAAGACTTCTCAAACATGCATGAAAGAATCAAAACAACACTCCAGGTTTTGATGAGGGAATAACATTATAACATGATTTAAAGCTCAAAGAAGTTGATTTTATATAATCATCTTTAATAATTTCCCCCAAAGGTTGCAGATTTTATTTCCAAAGCTGCCTGATAATCCCCACAAAAGTCTGTGCCTGGCTGCTGTTGTGCATTTCTCCCCTAAAATAATAGTTTGGATATGCAGAGGTGCACATCCTAAGCATTCATTCTACCAAAGAGTATCACTCAAATATGGCAACAGGAGAACGTTGCACATGCAGCTCAGTGACCCCTGTCAGCGTGGAGGTCAGCGCCGATACATCTTACCGTCCAAACACCAAACGCTTGATTCATAGAGGAGCCTGCCGCTTTGTCCTTCATGCTTCAGAGGAGGTTTGTGAGTCGGCTGCAAATAACAGGTGCCAAGCGTCTCGCTGCTTATTAGGTCCAGATGTTCTCCGTAGAACCAATGCGAGCAAATAATCCTTATGATGTTGTAGACATTTTATCAACCATAGGTACATTTAGAAAGCAAGATTGGTGCTTAAAGTAAGAAACAAGCAGTTGTAATTTGTTAGCATGCTCACAAATGAACTGTTTACTCAGGTGATAATCCAGATGTTTTCATATTTTGAATTCACTGCTGCTGTTGGGTGACAAAGGCAGAAAAACGCTGTTTCCCAGAACGCAATCCGAGTTATAAATAACTGCACTGAGCTTCTGTAGTGGGAATGGGCTGGCATGAGATTCTTATGGTATGACATAAAGCAGGATAGCAGCAATTATTCCCATTAAAAACAAATAGCACATTAATTATTACATTAAATATAAGACTGTCCTCTAAATTTAATAAACATTCTGGAACCTTAGTAAATATGTTGTTGCGATGGAGACAGACTTGTTCAATAAATTAGAATATTATTGAAAAGTCTATTTATTTTAGGAGCTTTATCACTCAGTGAAACACATTATATAGATTAATTTTGACAGCCCTTATTTTTGTTTGTAATAATGGTTTTTCGCTTACAGCTAATAAAAACATGAGTTTGAAATTTTAATATTACATCAGACCAATAAAAAACAATTTTTGATAGAAATGTGGACCTAATAAAAAGTATGTTTAATGCCTGCTGGAATGATATTATTTTCAAAAGGTACTTTTAATCTGACAAATCAGTCTCATCAGAATGTTGAATCTAATTTACTGAATATGACTCACTTCATTTCCACTATCTGTGTTATTTATGACCATAATTCACAAACAAAATAATTTGTTTTGGAAGCAAGGGGAAACTGCAGCTGCCTCCTTTCAGAGAGCTGACTGGCAGTGTGCAGCATCAGGAGTTTAGCTGTGGCACTTTCGCTTTCATTTCTCTAAAATTACCTTTTAACTGTGAGAACAATAGGAAGTGATATGCTTTTGCCCATCCCCCCTGCATAGAAACATTTACAGGAACAGAATATAACGGTACGAGTTGGATAAAAAAATAAAACACAGAACGTAATTTAGATCTGGCCTGTTCTTTCAGAAATGTGTGTTATCTGTTCAAGTGAACTGCAGCAAGAAATCACTGAGGGGAGGACAGGAAGGGCATGTGCTTGCAAATATTTTTCTAAAAATTTATCTTCCACCCTGTTTCTGCTCGCCATGATGAAGGGCGCTGCGCGCGCGGGAGGACAGCTACGTTTGAGGGAATGCTCCGTAGATACCAAACACATAAAACGAGTCATATGTATCTTTATTTCTCATTTTAAGCCATGCATGTGTTCATAGGCCACCACCTGCTCGCCACCATCCCCCCGACTCATTATTGTGATGAGTGAGAAGAGGAGTTCAGGGAGAGGGTGCTGGCAGGAATTTGATTGGGTGGTTACTCTGGCCCACACAAGTAAAACGAAGCAGCTGCTGTTGTACAGTAAAGCCCCGCTTTGTGGAAGTCGGTGCAGCCGAAACTTTGTTGCCTCAAGTGTCAACAGATTGAAAGGTCTGCGACGACAAAGTAACTCAAATTTAAGAGTTTAAGGGATCATTAAAGGGATAGTAATGGGTTTTTAAAATGAGTTTCTGCTGAAGTGTTAGAATCTTACTCACAGCCGATAGCTCTCTTTGTTTTATATAACTATAGATTAGTTGAGGCTAAAGCTAAAGGCTAGTCAAAGAGTGACTAAGAACATGAGAGACCACCAGTCAGTTTGCATCAGTATGCAGCATTTAAGAAAAG